TTTTTTTTTTTTTTTTTTTTTTTGTCCTTTTTGAGACCGGCGGCACCTCGCTCAGCCAGTGAGCGCTGTGAGCGCACTGGTCATCCCTATATAGGATCCGAACCCGCGGGGGGAGCGCTACTGCGCACCCAGCACCGCACTCTCCTGAGTGCGCCACGGGCTCGGCCCATTCTGTGTGATTTTTAAAAATTGGTTTAAAAAACTATATATATATTTCGAAATTTTGAGACCTACAAAAAGGTGTAGAAAACAATACTGAGAACACTTCTGTAGCCCTATCCTGCCAAGAAATAAAACATGAATCCAGTTGATAGTTGAAGCCCTCATACAGTCCTCCCTTCACGTCCTCTTCCACCCCCACCCAAGTGAGCACCGTCTTGAGATGGATCATCACTCCCTCAGGTTTCTTTATGCTCTTACTACACATGTATGTGTCCCTAAGACTCTAAAGAATAGTTTATATATTCTTAAACATTAAATAAATGATATCATACTTTGTTGTTTTTTTTTTTTTTTTTAAAAGATGACCGGTAAGGGGATCTTAACCCTTGACTTGGTGTTGTCAGCATCACGCTCAGCCAGTGAGCGAACCAGCCATCCCTATGTGGGATCTGAACCCGGGGCCTTGGTGTTATCAGCACCACACTCTCCCGAGTGAGCCACGGGCTGGCCCCGATATCATACTTTGTGTAGCAACTTTTTTCATTCAGCTTCTTTACAAATTTTTTTTTTTTTTTTTTATAAAAAGATGACTGGTAAGGGGATCTTAACCCTTGACTTGGTGTTGTCAGCACCTGAGCCACGGGCCGGCCCTTTACAATTATTTTTAATGACAAAAATGCCACCTTTTCCCATGACACTGAGTCACATGAAGTGGATTGTAAAATTTCCCTCTAAATATCCATCTGACTTGGTATCTTGCATTGTACATAAAGATGGGAAAAGGGAGCATTCAGAAGGAGCCAAGTACTGAGGACACATTATAGCTCAACACAAAATGTCATTGGGGACTTATCTGGGTACTGATGTTACTCTGCACTCTTGATTTCCATGGGTCCCTTAGGGCATAAAACTAGGGCACTTTAGCTGTGCTAGAGTCAAGAAAGAGGATTTCTTGGTGTGAACCCATCTAAAACAATCATTATTTGCTCTACTATTTAGGCAGTTTTTTTAACAACATACAAAAAATAAAGTAATTTGTCAGTTTTTTTAACAACATACAAAAAATAAACAAAGTAATTTGCGCTTAACGCAGAAAACCTGGATAATATAGAGAAGCATAAAGGGGGATTATTCCTTCCACCCGGAAGGGACATTTTGATGTTTTGTTGTGTTTAACCAATATTAATTTCATTTCTCGTCTTCTTTGATCCAGCCCACAGAACCTGATTGCCCAGTCTCAATCTGGCACTGGTAAAACAGCTGCCTTTGTCCTGGCCATGCTCAGCCGAGTTGAACCAGCGCATGGGATCCGAACCCTCGGTGGGAGCGCCGCCGCACTCCCAAGTGGCGCACTCTCCAGTGCTCCAGCGGGCCAGTCCCATGCTAATTTTTTAACAGTCCTTGCCAGTCTTTTTTTTTTTGTGTGTGTGTGTGTGGCTGGCCTGTACAGGGATCCAAACTCTTGACCTTGGTGTTTTAAGACTGTGCTCTAACTAGCTGAGCTAACCAGTCAGGCTTCCAGTCTTAAAATAAGATTTTAAGTTGTTAAAAAATCCCTGCATGGCTCATGGAGTTCTTAAAGTCTGGAGTTCTTCACTGAGAAGACACAGTTTTGAATTCAGCATCCAGTGTTCTGGGACCTGCTTATTGAAGAGGATAAGCAGGACTGAGGATGGTAGGTTAGGGTCAGATCCATTTCTTCCTTTTCTTTTTTTTGGCAGCTGGCCAGTGTGAGGATCTGAACCCTTGGCCTTGGTTTTATCAGCAACATGCCCTCCCAAGTGAGCTAACTGGCCAGCCTCAAGATCCCTTTCTTTAAAAGTAAGCATAGGCTTTAATAAGAGGAAACTGAGAGCATGTACAGTTAATTTACTCTTAACAAAATCAGAAATCTTTCTTTTAGTTCTTTCATGCATTCTGCAGAATGTCATATAGAAAATATGTGTTAAAATGGAGGGGGAATTTGAAAGATTTATTAGAAAATGGGTCATTAGGGCCAAGGCCCCGGGTTCGGATCCTATATAGGGATGGCCGGTTCGCTCACTGGCTGAGCGTGGTGCTGACAACACCAAGCCAAGGGTTGAGATCCCCTTGCCGGTCATCTTTTTAAAAAAAAAAAAAAAAGAAAATGGGTCATTGGAGGGCTGGCCCATGGCTCGCTTGGGAGAGCATGGTGCTGACAACACCAAGTCAAGGGTTAAGATCCCCTTACTGGTCATCTTTTAAAAAAATAAAATAAAAAAAGAATACATAAAATTTCTACTAATCAAGCTGTCCAGTTAGCTCAGTTGGTTAGAGCATGGTGCTGATGACACTAAGGTCCAGGATTTGAACTCTGTGCTGACCGGTCTCCAAAAAAACTAAGAAATAATAAAGAATAAATAAAACTACAAGAGAAAAGCAATCTAATAGGAAAATGGACAGAAGAGGCCCAGTTGAACAGACATTTCACAAAATAAGGAATTCAGATGGCCAGTAAACATGAAAAGATGATGAGCCTCATCAGGGAAATGGAAATTGAAACCACTTCCATCAGGAGTCTGACTTTACCAAGTATTGAGAAGATGTGGAAGAATGGGAATGCCCACACACTCCTGGTGGGGAGGATGCATTGGTTTGATCACTTTGGCATTACTTAGAAAAATTGACCCAGCAGTTTATAATTGCCTAGAGCAGCTGTTTTTGAACTTTTTGGTCTCAGCATTCTCTTTCACTCCTAAATACTACTGAGGATCCCAAGTATTTCTGTTTATATGGGTTATATCTCTTGATATTTGCCATAGTAGAAGCTAAAACTGAGAAACATTAAAAACACTTAGTAATTCAAAAATAAAAGCAGTAAACTTATTACATGCTAATGTAAATAACATATTCTAATGAAAAATAACTATTTCCAAAACAAAAAAATAGAATGACATTGTTTTACATGTTTACAAATTTTTTCTCATATCTGCTCATTTAATCAGTGTGAGATTTTGTTTTCTTTGAAGTATATGAAGAAAATCTGGCCTTTCAGGTATTTTATTTTATTTTTATTTATTTATTTATTTTTTTAAAAAGATGACCGGTAAGGGGATCTTAACCCTTGACTTGGTGTTGTCAGCACCACGCTCAGCCAGTGAGCGAACCGGCCATCCCTATATGGGATCCGAACCCGGGGCCTTGGTGTTATCAGCACCGCACTCTCCCGAGTGAGCCACGGGCCGGCCCCCTTTCAGGTATTTTAGATACTCTTTTTTGATGCTACACCAAAATTTAACAAGTGGTAATGACTTAAAAGCAAGTTGCAACATGGTATCTAAAATCATATTAATGAACCTTTTGTACTGCGTTACATTAGAATCCCTTGGTCTCTCTTGGACTTTGAATGCATCTTTTTTGGCCAGGGATAATTTTCTGACATAATGCCATGGTCATTTGGGAAATATTGGCTTACTGAGGTATGCTGATATTCCAAATGTTGACATATTTCATTATACAGTATTTAAAAATTGCATGTATTAATATCACCACCAACATCAGAGGAGTTTATACACATGGGGAAACTCATTTAGAGTGGCACACACCAGTTTTCCACAGTTCTGCTGTTCTCTTAAAAGCTCAAATGTTGTAATGGCAACAAATGCCTCCAGTTGTTCTCACTGAGGAGGCAGGCCTTCTTTGTTCATTTTCAAGAAGGTGAGCATCAAATTCCCAAGTGAACATCTGCAGTGTGTCTGTCACTTGACCAAGAAAGATGGCTAGTTTAGCTCGCCACACAATCAGAAAGGACTTTTCCTAAAGAAAATAATCATGCTTTGACATGTAGCAAAATCACTTTTTTCAGAAATTATGAGATCGGATGTTTTTATGTATGTTCATCTAATATCTCAAACTGATGAGTGCAACCTAAATGAAATGTACCAGGAGCTCAGGACAGCATAATGCTATGTCTTCTCTAGATTGTTTTATAACACAGGACTTCACTGTGCATGTGAGGGGCTAGTATATTGACTGTACTTAATGTATCATTTTTTAAAGATTCCATTTAAACTGACAGGTAGTGGACATTGGGAAACTATAATGTTTTTAAGAGTTATTTTAAAACTTTTCCAATGCGTAGTTGATAAATTCCTAAAGAACGGCCTTTTCTTCTCACTACTACAGTGATCTTATTTTTAGATATAGTTCAAATTTTTAATATTTTAATATCTACATATTTAATATTTAAATTTTTACTTATTTTATTTATTTATTTTTTTTTTTTAAAGATGACCGGTAAGGGGATCTTAACCCTTGACT